ACATCATGTGAGGGTCTCCCAGTGCAGTACGATGGCATATGGGGGTGTCCAGGTGACACACGGGGGTCCCAATGGCATGGGGGTGTCCATCCCAGTGTCACATTGGTGTCCCAATGTCACCAGGGGGTCCCAGTGGCACATGGGGGTCCCGGCATCATGTGAGGGTCTCCCAGTGCAGTACGATGGCACGGGGGTGTCCTGGTGACACATGGGATCCCAATGTCACGTTGGTGTCCCATTGTCACGTTGGTGTCCCAATGGAACATGGGTGCCCTGGTGGTCCATCCCAATGTCACACAGGGGTCCTGGTGGCACACGGGGGTCCCGGCATCATGTGAGAGTCCCTATGGAGTATGATGGCATGGGGGTGTCCCGGTGACACATGGGGGTCCCAGTGGCACATGGGTGCCCTGGTGGTCCATCCCAATGTCACACGGGGGTCCTGGTGGCACATGGAGGTCCCAATGTCATATTGGTTTCCACCTCAATGTCACATTGGTGTCCCAATGGCACGTTGGTGTCCCAATGGCACATTGGGGTCCATCCAGGGGATCCTGGTGGCACACGGGGTCCCGACATCATGTGAGGGTCCCTATGGAGTATGATGGCACATGGGGGTGTCCTGGTGACACATGGGGGGTCCCGGTGACACATGAGGGTCAAAATGGCACGGGGGTGTCCGTCCCGATGTCACCTTGGTGTCCCAATGTCATGTGATGGTCCTGGTGGCACGTGGGGGTCCCAGTGTCATGTCGGTGTCCCTGTGACACGGGGGGGGTCCCAGTGGCACATGGGTGTCCACCACAGTGTCCCGTTGGTGTCCTGGTGACGTGTGGGTGTCCCTTCTACTGTCATGTTGGTGTCCATCCCAGTGTCACATTGGAGTCCCAATGTCACGTTGGGGTCCCAGTGTCACATGGGGGTTGCAATGTCACATGGGGGTCCATCCCAATGTCATGTTGGGGTCCCAGTGTCACATGGTGTCCCAATGTCACAGGGGGGTCCATCCCAATGTCCTGTTGGTGTCCCAGTGTCACACTGGGGTCCCAGTGTCACCTTGGTGTCCCAATGTCCTGTTGGGGTTGCAATGTCACATGGGGGTCCATCCCAATGTCACGTTGGTGTCCCAATGTCACATGGTGTCCCAGTGTCACATGGGGGTCCATCCCAATGTCACATTTGTGTCCCAGTGTCATGTTTATGTCCCAGTGTCACATGGGGGTCCATCCCAGTGTCACCTTGGTGTCCCAGTGTCATATGGGGGTCCCAGTGTCACATGGGGTTCAATCCCAATGTCACCTTGATGTCCCAATGTCACACTGGGGTCCCAGTGTCACATGGGGGTCCATCCCAGTGTCATGTTGGGGTCCCAATGTCACATGGGGGTGTCC